CTTTAATACATCAAATAATCACAATCGAACCACTATTATAAAAACATATGAGGAACCTTGTATTAAATTTTTGAATCATCGACATGAATAGAAACCATATAGAAACAATTTTATCGATATTTAACTGTAGAAAAAACTTAAAAAATAAAATGTCTATAGGTTCGCAGTTTCACTCAGCTTGACTACGGATCGTTATTCCCGGAAAAAAATTATCCGAGATTTCTTAAAATTGTATTTTTCATTTTTATGGTGAATTTGTGAACATAATTATTGTAAGTGGTAACTGGGTCCCTATTATTAACTATCGGTTCAAAATTGTATTTAATAATTATGTTCATAACATTTGTGAGCATTGTGAATACTGAGCTACTGAGCATTCGATTCTACAACTATTCTGGTATCTGAAATTTATGATACACATATATATTATATACTTAAAACCATTAAGGTTAACCGCTAGGTAACTGCAATAGATTCAGCCAATCACAGTGCTGAATTTTTTTTTCCATAATCGCGGTTCACGGATTATGGAGCTGGCAGCAGCTGCTGCTGCAGACCTGCAGTGTGTATAGTCACCTTATAAAATGACTCGAAAGACAAAAATAGTCATGTAAGTGTATGGAAAATGCCAGTATAAAAATTCAGTGAAAATGTCTAGTATTTATTATTCTATTATACGGTTATCTGTTTTTGAATTACAAGAAAACAAGAAAATCATTCAACGAGAAATTGGGTGAATATGGTAAAAAGTTCAAACATATTTTTATTATATATGATATTTATTCTAAATCTGCAGTGATCTCTGATATTAATGATATTGTCTATATAGAGTTGAACGTTCGGACAAAAATAGTTAAGCTATATATCAAATTCCATATGATAAACATTTTGGTTAAGAGGACGCTACACCCGCATTATGTTGTCTTCGTCTTACAAACGCGTAACGTAGCAAATTTTATGCTCAGCAGAACACGTTTAGCTCCGTTAGTTTAAAATAATTTAGAGTAAATTGACCTCTTACAAAAATTAAAAGTACCTAACATTATTATTGTGGGCATCTCGTAGGATTTTTATTATATTTTAATTTTAAAATGAGTTTATGAGTATTTTAAGATACCTATACAAACAATTTACAATTTTAAAATACACATAACTCACTTTAAGATTAAAATATAATAAAAAGCCTGCGAGTTGCCCTCAGTAATAATGTTACCTTTAATTTTTTTAAGAGGTCRATTWACTCTAAATTTTAAACTAACGGAGCTAAACGTGATCTGCTTAGCATAAAATTTGCYATGTTACGCACTTGTAAGACGGAGACAACATATGCGGGTGTAGCGTCCTCTTAACTAAAAAAARAATACTATACACTTTTACAGTCACCATCACAGGATAGAAACATCCCTGAATGGGCTGAATGTACATATTATGCGCAAATGGTCATTTTAAGCGGTATTGGGTCATGTTTGTGCGATAATGGATAAAGTGCCGTAAAATTAAATTACTGTGCTGAAATCTCGTATAATTGTCACGCTAGATACTTGTCTTATCAATTTGCAATCAATAATGTATTAGGTACGTGTGTATTAATATTATGTTTGTGTTAACCCTGAAATTCAAAAGCTGTGAAAATGACAATTTATTTACATATTTTAAATTATATATACCAATAATATTTATCATTTCTTGTATCTACCGAGTTTTGTGAACACGATTTGCATACCTAATGAGGATTGATCGTTAAATCACTTTTTAACATCTTTTTGCATAATTATAATAATACATACGCATTACAAMAAAAACATATTTTCAGACCTAATCAGTCATAAAATAAAATAACTAAAAAGAATAGTTCTACAATCGTATTCAGATAATTATTATGTATACCTAGGTATTTATAATATATTGAAGTAAGTAGGTATATCTGAGTGAGCATCTGAATTAAATGTTAGATTATTATAAGTGTAATATAATATAATATATATAATATAATATATATTACAAGTGCTTATCTTACACACATTAAAAATCATACAATTAGCATTAAAAAAAAAAAAAACTATTTCACAAATCGGTTAATCTTATAAAAATATGAAAAAATAATAAATGGAAATTAATGATTTAAAAAGTTATAGAAAATGTAAATATGAAATAAGTATAGACTTTGTAATATTATATTTTTGAATTTTCATGTTTTTTTCATATTCTATTTATATTTTCAAATAGGTAGGTAGTATGGTAGTATGTAGGTACATATTATTTTTCTATAATTTAAGCTACACTTACAATAAAACATTCTTATAGATTATTTTAATTATATATTCCATTTAAAATTTTGAAAGATTATAAGTCCCAAAACTTTGATTTATGCCATATTGTCGTATATATATAAATATATTGGACTATTATAAAATATWAATATATAATATTAGTTAATTAAATAATATAGTAACCAAATTTTTGTTTTTTCTATAGAAAATGAATGCTCAATATTATTAACACATATTAAAAAAATAAAATAAAACAAGACCTTYTTAAATAGATTATTAGAAGTGTCAACTATAATATTCAATAGGTAATTAAATCGAATGAAGATGTCAGATGGTATGAAATATTTAATTAATATTTACAAAGCTTCATATAATATTATGATAAATAGAAATAGACCATACATTTTTACATGAAACTTTCAAATATGTATTAAAAATCCAATTATGATAACACTCGGATATTTATTTTAACCACTTATATATATTGATATTATTATGTATAACACAAATTTCAAATATATTTTTATCTTTAAATATTCAGTTAACACGTTGTAATCGGCCAATTTTTCATTATTTAATAACGCTACTACTGATATGACATAATATCATAATATTATCCTTTTTCCGGAAAACAACTGTACGACAGCCGACAATCGCACACTTCACACGTGTGACTGGTTATTTACACAAAATATAATCTCTATATAACTGGACATTATAACATAATAATATTGTAATTTAAAATAATATTTTTAATTTTGATTTTTGATTTTTTCGAGGGGGCGTACTAGATACAAACATAGTATCACTCAGCTGAAGAATGAAGATACGAAATAATAATATATATCATAATTCATAATATTATAAGATATGTATACTCAGTTCGTGCGATTGACGCGACATTTAATGCGTTCCGATATTATATCRCATATTGAATTCTCGCGTTACAAGGATTTTTTTATTATCTTGTTATTTGGGTTTCAAATGGTGCAATAATATAAATTAGATATAACATATTATTATTATTATCATTACATATATTATTAGTCGCGCGTGCGGGTCGACGTCGATACGAGAGAACAAGYCAAGTTAAATAATTTGCTCTGAGCTGACAGATTTTTATTGTGCATGTCAATCTTTTCACCAATAACAGCGACGACTTTGCAGTTATTTCATTAAAAAACTTTTTATTCATTTTTACGTGGGATCCAAGTAGTATAAAGATCACAGCAGCACTACAATTCGTGACATCCCACCACATGATAATATGCGTTTTACGCTGATATTTCTCGCGTAGGTAGATACCTAATAATTAGGTATACGCGTATACGAATAATATATGATGTAGTCATGTTTTTAGATGATTTTTTGGTGTCGTAATTATCGTCATTTATCTTCTACACTGCGAAGAGATTACGCGGCCACTTGTGTCAGTTAAAATATAATGCGCCAATATAAGTACATGCGCAGAGTTTCACTACACGTCCAAAGTGAATCGACGTCTCGTTATCGATCTGAAATCCTCTCGTATACACTAATATACATATAGGTACACAAACAGCATATTACGATTCGTCCAATACATTGACTGGTACGTTTAGTTTAAGTAAAATAATATACATATTACATTACATGATTATATAAACATAATATTGTGTACTTATATTTATTTATTGTTAATGAAATACTTGCCCATATCACAGCATTATTAATAAATAATAATTATTACGATTATTGGTAATTTATAAATTTTAATACATGTCTTAAATGTGAATATAATGCAAGGTTCAGTATTAAATTACTAGCAGGGATAGCGCTAAGCTGGGGCCAATACGAGCTGGGGCTCGCACTCGTATACCTTTTATACATTGAAAAATTTGAATCAACTTAAAGTAATTATACTATTTTCGTTTGTGTATATTATATAACAGCTAGTAAATTTGTATTTATAACATGACAGTACAATACAGTTTTTTTCATTATAAATCATCGTATATATAATTAATTAATAATAGGTAGAAGATTATTTTTTTCCATTAAAATTTTCAATGCGACCGAATTAGGGGATACCTACTCTATACTATAGGGGATATTCACAGGTACTACAATATAGTTGCGTCCTCAATGATTGTAAGTATTACACTTGTTACGGGCTTTTTATATTTTACACTATATAGAATAACATTTTCCTTCCCATTTTATAGACTTAGGAGCTAGGAATTTCTATAATCTATTTAAGCCAATTGTTGTGGTTAAAAATGTTTTTCAGCTAATAGTTTCTATGATTTATACTACCAATTAGAATTTTACAAATTATAATATAATACATAAATAAGCACAATATCAACTACCAAGAATTAATGTTTTAAGCATTTTTACCAATACAAAAGTTGTTTTAAACAATATTTTATATCATATACCTATCTATTCTATATTTAAATTTTTATTATTTTAAATATTTTTTCTTGGTATTGTATCTGTCATTGTTTGAAATGTCATATGTTTTGTGTGAKTTTTAAGAWCACAAAATATATATTTCACAGTGTGCATCACGAAATAGAAGATTTTATGTCATATAATGTTGGTTATAAAAATTATTTTGAATATTCTAAATAATACAAAATGTCACGTTTATTTTGTTCAGGATTATTCTGTTAGCTACAGGCTTCGGGACTACGGGATAACAATATTATCATTGCCGAARGTTTACAACWTACACGACATCAATAAAAGTCTATACGCGTTATATTGTTCATCCAAAAGTCTCGATCAACATCAATAAATTTAATTATGACTATGAACACTATAAAAACTCTGCAGAGTTCCGCAATTGTATTGGTGATTCTATTTGCCTCTTCAGCATCTCATTCTAGAATTGGATTCGATAAATATCATAACTACAAAGAGATGACTAATTATTTGATGCAAATAACTGACGAGTTTCCCAATATCTCGTCGCTGTATTCGATCGGCCAGTCGGTYTTAAGTACGTATAACGCATCAGGCTATATTATATAACGTATCAATATTATTATCTACGTTAAATTGGCAATACAATGTTACACAATATCATAAAATCACTCCAACAAACTCTTCTYGAACTTGTTGAACGTTGTTGGACAATTGTTGGAATTTGTTGGAAGCTATATCAAAAGTTACTCAACCTCAAAGTTTGTAGAGCCAAATACATGTCCAGTTCTACATATTCAAAAAAACACAATAAAACCCTTCTGAAAATACTCATATAACATTGTTTGAATTTGTTAGAATCTATTTTAAGAGTCATAGAGAAACGTATAACGAACGCATGTTTACCACCAAAGATGAAAAAATATAACGCTAACAATTTTCYTAGAATTTTAAATCACTATATTCCTCTAGCAACTTAACCTCTAACACATTTTAGAAAATTTTAAAATTCCGTTTCCGCCCTAGCACTACATTTATCAATATATACACATGAMATGGCTATAAAAAATTTTCTTTTTCGTAATACTGATTTCTGGTGTTCAAAAAATTTTGAAATTCAAAAATCACTTAAAAACGATTAAAGTGATAAAACAAATATTTARTGAATAATATAGGTAGGTATATTTATGATAGTCACGTCATGTGTATAATACTTTGATAAATGTAGTGTTAGGTGCTAAAGGGGGTTTCAAAATTTTAATAAAATTGTTGGATCGATTTTTCTTCTTCTAAAATGTGCAAACATGTTTGTTCGACCAATTTCAAAAATTTTTGGACACCAGAAATCAATATTGTGAAAAAGAAAATTTTTTATAGCCATGTCAAGTGTATATTGATAAATGTAGTGCTAGGGTGGAAACGGAATTTTAAAATTTTCTAAAATTTGTAGAGGTTAAATYGCTAGAGGAATAAAGTGATTTAAAATTCTGGGAAATCGTTAGCGTCATATTTGTTCACCATTGTTGATAAATAACATGCGTTCGTTATACGTTTTTCATACTTCTGGCTGTTTATTTCTATACACTTACTGTATATGAACTTTTGAACTTTACACTGTATACATTGTTAAAGTTGTTTTAATTATTGTCAAAGTCCAACAATGTCACTTAATTTAGATTATATTTTTTGTAACAGTTTTTAATGTTTGAATTTAATTTGTAGTGCTGGTTGTGCAGTTAGCACTACAAACTTTGAGGTTGAGTAACTTTTGATATAGCTTCCAACAAATTCCAACAATTGTCCAACAACGTTCAAAAAGTCTGAGAAGAGTTTGTTGGAGTGGTTTTATGATATTGTGCTAACATTGTAGTGCCAGTTTCAAATATAGACAGTGGCGTACTTAGAGGAGGTGCAGGAGGTGCAGGAGGTGCATTGCACCAGGGTCCTTTATCTGTGTCTTATAAATGGGGCCTTTAAGCCCCTAATCGGTCTAATCAACAATAACTAATAAGACAACAAATAGTAACTGAATTTTTATAAGGGGTCCGAAAAATTAAGTGCACCCCTGTGCTTAAATACATAGATACGCCACTGCACGTAGGTTCGTAGGTAATATTATTAAGACAAGAACTAGATGAATCCGCTGAAATAAGTTGTCGGCTATCTAGTCTCTGAGCATAATATTCAGCTATTGTTACAATTAATAATTTAAAGCACCTGCGAAGGTCAGATTTTACGCTACTGTCATTTAGTTATACTCCGCTTCATGTAAAACGAAAATAACTATTTAACATCTTTACTAGGTAATAGCCAATAAGTATATAATATTGCATATTTCTTATATTTAATATTTTTCTTTTATATGTCTCTGTAAAGAACGTGAACTRTGGGCTGTCAAGTTGACTACTGCAAGCGAATTGCTAGGTGTACCAAACGTCAAGATCGTTGGCAACATACACGGAAATGAGCCCGTGGGAAGAGAAATCATTTTACATCTGATTCAAGTAAGTCATACGTATGGAATGATTGATAGTTTTAAATATAAATATTGTATTATTTTTAATACATAGGTATTATTGCATAAAGACTATAGATTATACGATGATAAATATTGACATATAAATACTGATTTATTGTCTATTAGCATCTTACTGTGTACTATCATTATTAAATTGATATATCTACTTAATCGTCTTAATCTATATAGTATACCTACCTATATTATAAAGAATTTTTGATTCAGTAAACTGCAGACCATTATTAATTCTAATTATTAAAATCAAAACATTGCAACATATCTAATGACAATAATTTAAGTTTGAAAATAGATAATTTATTACCACTGATTTTATCTTAAAATTCACTCTAGTTTTTAATGAAACTGTTGAGAAACGAGCAAGGTAAAAACATACAACTCAAGTCTCAAAGAAGTAGAGACGGAGATTATTAATGTCAGTTTAATTAATCTTGTATTATTACAATAATTTTGCAATATTTAAATTATWAAAAATAAAAAATGTTATAAACATAAATTTACGTTAACTGGTTTCGGGGACGGATAGTTAAGTGCCCGCTATACACATTATTGAGTATAGCTATATTATATATTTAAAAATTCAAAGTATGAAATGAGTTTGTGTTCAAAATCTACAGTATTTGTTGGATAACAATTCGAAAAACAAAGCAATTAGCAATATGTTGCGAACTACCGTCATCCATTTGTTGCCGAGTATGAATCCCGATGGGTTCGAACTATCGTCTCCTCAGCCTTGTCCTAACGACGGAATGCAGAAGTCGGGTTCTAGGTAAAAAGATTATTTTGCTAAATATCAAATGAGTTTTTTTTATACGACAAATCACAACAAGTTGTTTATTTTTATCTTATCGACTATATTACCATATTGTTATGTAGAGAAAATGCTAACGCTTTTGATTTGAATCGAAATTTTCCGGATTTTTTCAATCCGCATACAGTACCATTGCAGCCCGAAACCAAAGCAATGATGAGATGGTTAAAATCTGTGCCGTTCGTCATGTCTCTAGGCTTACACGGTGGCGCTTTGGTGGCCAATTTTCCTTACGATGGTTCATTGGATTCGGGTGAGTATTATTACACGCACATGATATTTTGTATATACATCCACTATTCAATGTTGTATTTGTATATCATATTAATTGTTCACCTTTAAATGCATATTAATTGCATTATCTAATATGATATCCAAACGGTCAAAAATCGTTTATTARTTTTAGGTAGGTACTAATATAATACGTAGAATATAAAATTTACATAATTTAATATATAAAATAAAACATTTAGTTCGTAAATCATTCCTTTGTGGCTTTGTTACAAATATCAAACAGTATAAAATGAATAGGTACATTTTCATAATTTTAAACAATTATTTTTCAAAAAAATATCAATAGGTTCGTTCATTTTAAACCTATGAGTTACGGAATTCAATGCAATGGATACAAAAATACTATTATTATCTTAAAATAACGTTAATTCGGATTAAGAAATAATTATCGATATTTTCGCTAAATTGATAATATGTATTGTCATATTCATGAAAATTACATAGGTATAAATATTTTATAAATACAGTTTCACTAATTCAGATTTAGTGCACGGTCACTTTTAAATTTATATACAGACATCTGTGTAAAATTATCAAAATTTTAAAATAACATATTATGCCATAATATAATATGCTGAGTACATGGACCATGGTACATTTATATTATCATACAATATTATTTATTTTAAGTTTGCTAAATTTGATATTGAGTCTTATTAAATGCTTATGTATGACAATAGGAATATAATATTATAATGCTATATCGTATTAATGTGTATAATATCTAAAAATTGTGATTGCGTTATATAGAATATTTTATATGGACATTATCGTTTGTATTTTATTATAACAGTACCAGGAAAGCTGCAGAAATTAAACGAAACATTACGAATTGCCAATGTATTTGAACTCTACAAAATATTTCGAAACGGTAAAAATATCAAAATGAAATTCACTTTAATCATGAATTGCACAATATACGCACCTGGTCCTGTATGTAAAATCTCACGTCGTAAAAAGTATTGATAGAGTGCTAAAAAAATTTAAAATACAAATCATTACCAATAATAATAAGCTCAAATGCTTTATGTACAGTATTACGATTTATGTTACGTTATCAAACGACTTTTAAATACTTATAGTGTATATTACATGGCTTAAAATATTWATATTATATTGCATTATTGCTATTTAACTAACTAATTATTTTGTAATATTAATGATGATAACATGAAAAATCTATGACATTATCTAAACCCTATAATAAAGCATGAGTTCGTATTTAGTCTTTAGATTTGTATAATATCAGCTGTAGTTATAATAAACTAACTCAACATTTTTGACATAATATTATCATCATGTTATAACATTGTATTAATCAATTTAATAAATAATATAACATAAAGCYATATTATATTTGTATTAAATTGTAACATATTTATTATAAATAATATAACTTCCCGATATTAAAGTACTTTTAGTTAATTACCTATTTTCTCTATTTTTCAATGACAGATTCTAGTTATAACCATAATATCGAAAATATGGAGAGTTTAACACCAGACGATGACGTATTTCGGTTTTTGGCGAAACAATATGCTGAATTACACCCGACCATGCATAACGGTCTAAGTTGTGAAGATGACTCTGATTTAAAATTCAAAAATGGCATAACAAATGGAGCCGCTTGGTATCAAGTAATAGGTAGGATAAGTTTATTTTAAAGAAATGTTTTCATTTTTAGCTTATATATTAAGACTACCGCGAGATATATGATATTAAACTATTATTAAACTATTATCACGTTGTATATTATTTTATGTATTTTTTTTTTTTATTATTATTGATCAAAGTACATCGACAACTAGGCCATTAGTAAAAGAAATTTTTTTGTGTTACATTTTTAGTATTTTAAGTATACATTTTCTACATTAAATTAAATTGTACAATTCTGTTTGTTTTTAAGAATAAAATTAAGTTTTTACATCCTTTGGGTTTGGTCCAAGTGCTATTTTATGTAATATATATTCATATTAATATTATATAATAATATACATATTAAATGATATTCTTCTATTATCTTACTAAATAGTAAATTGTATTAAAAAGTATTAATGTTTTTATTAAAAGTATAAAATTAAAATTACGCATTTTTTCACAGGAAGCATGCAAGATTATAATTAMGTATGGCACGGATGTATGGAAATTACTTTGGAAATGTCATGTTGCAAGTACCCACCTGCTTCATTTTTAGAATCTCATTGGAAAGATCATTTAAAGGTACCTATACATTACATTCAATTATCACAAAATTCCAACAATTGAAAAAATTATATGGTATAAATAATAGAGATGATAATAAAAGTCGTACATTTTTCAATGAAAAAACAAAAAAAATTAATTATAATAATTCAATATTATAATTGTAATACTAAATTAAGTTGAATTATATGTTTCAAATATTTCCTGAGATTGAGACCAATAGAAACGCAGAATGTATCTTTATAACAAATTAACAACTACAATAAGGTATAGTATTTTGTAATTTTATTTCAGCCACTCTTGACTTGGGTGCAACAAGCGCAAAGAGGTGTCAAAGGAATCGTCACCAACCGAATAACAGGTAAACCCATACCAAACGCCACCATCGGCCTTACAAACCGTGAAAATTATGTCAACACGACCCTGAATGGAGAATACTGGAAAATACTACTTCCTGGTATATATAAATTACGTGTAAGTATTTTACGAAGAGAAAAATGCCAGTATACTCGTATGGGGAGAGGGGGTTTAAAGCTTAAAAATATTTGTATCTGCAATCACTGGGGTGTTACATTTCATAAACTATTAGGTGCGAGGTCCTATGAAGGGCAAAATTAATTAGTCATTTAAACATGTTGGTCAACTTTTTTTCAATCAAGGTATCATATCAAAAGATAAATATTAACGACTTAAAAKTTTGAGCTTCTTTTAAATGGCTGTTATATTGAACACCGTTCATACCTATCAAACTTAGGTAATTTATATATTTTAACCACCAGCTATTTAGGTATTGTCATATGTTACTAAATAAAAAATTTTCTTCATGATACATATTCAAAAATTTACTACTAAATATAAAGTTACATCGTAAATACCAAAAAAAAAAAAGCAATTTAACTTTAATGTTGTGTTCATACATATAGTTACTTGGCAGTTTATCGTCATATTTCTTTAGTTTTTGTGTTCTTTAACAACTGAGAACTTTTATTTAAATTATGATTTTTTTTCTACTTTAATTTC